AACGAGTTGGTCTCCAAGCAGTCCCCACGAACACGCCAGCACCGACTCAGAATTAAGAAAACTGTGTTCTTCACCGGCTACATGATTGGACCAGAGGACACAAAGAAGCTTATCAAGCTAGCCCATATACCCCAGAACATGCCCCAACATGAGCTCAAGTATCACGGGAACAACATTCTTATCTGCCCACGGCCGTGTCCCGCTAGCATCTTGGACAAGGTTGGTGGCATGGGCAGCAAGATGAAGTGGGAAGTCATCGGCACAGCTTGCTTCGACAATAGTATCTGGGCAGCACAGCTACGTCCCATTCCCCAAAATGCCAAGTTTCACACTGACAATCCCAGTCCGCTCGTCGTATTGGCTTTGAGGAAAGGAGTCAGGCCTATGGACGCGGGAAAGATTCAAGACTGGCAGCCTCTGTCACCAGAGAAAGCCTTCTCTTTTGAGACCGTGGTTGGCGAGAAGGTTATTTTACGCATTGAGGCAGAGGATCCACGAGAAGACGAGTATGAGAGTTTATTTGCCAATAAGGCATCGAAGCGGAAGCATAACGGTGACGAGGATTGGAGTCAGAGAAACACGCACGGCCACTACAGTGGGCGCAACGAGTCTCGTGGATACCACTCAGGGGGTCGAGGAGGTCGAGGTCGAGGAAACCGTGGTCACCGCGGTAACGCCAGAGGTGGTCGTGGAGGCCGTGGAAGAGGAGGCGGCTACAACTACCGATCTCTTGACGACGTTGAACCCAAGAATCAGCAGGGCGGCTACGGGCCACAGGTGGATTATGATGACTCCTACCCGCCGCTCGGCAAAAGCAACAACCCTCCCGTATCAGCACCTAGCGGTCCCAGCCAAAGCCAAGGTCAAGGTCACTTTGGTGGTCGAAATCAACAGTCGCATCGAGGCAGTGCTGCCTCACAGGGGCGGCCTATGGGCAGCCAAGCAGCTAACAACAACTCAGATTTGCAGAATTACTATTAGAGATAGTTTGCACCCGCTCAGCATGGTGGGCATCTTCTTATCTGGACGTTGAACAGCATACACTTACTCATGTACTTCGTATGCGGTGCCAACCTGAGGAGGGCAAGGATGTTTATGTCCATGTATAATCCTGGTCAAGGTTTTTGTTTTACATCTAATTAGGTGCAAGGTGTACTGGAGGAAAACAAAGCAAAACAAAGCAAGCATGATACCTTGCGGAAGAATGAAAAGAGAAAGGAAACGGTTCATAAGACGAACCGACAGAAGATCATGCATAGTTGTATACTCCTTTATTAGCTTCGTGATCTTTACTATTTAATCAAACAAAGCCTACCTACCATACGCCAATTTTGAGCAAGGTTGTCGATAAGTGTATATATTCCGCAGACCAAAGTCATCGTTCCTTGCTGCGCTAGCAGGCTTGTAGTAACTCAAGTCCAAAGTTACGATCACTAAAGCCAGAATGAGTGATTGATAGTCGAATATGATTGAAGGCGACTCTCATATTTGTTTAACAACTAAACAAGCGACTCGTGCTATGCCCTCAAACCTGCAACTATTAATTAGTTGCCCTGCGTATTGTATCGTTGCTGTCGCTATAGAAAGGGAGATGCTATCCGTCATAGTACCTTTTCAGATGTTGATTCTTATTGCTTCCCCCTGACTGATGTATGTCGTGTGTTCTCAATACTCACAATTGAGTAGGGCTAATGACGAATTTCTCGGAACCACGGCTAAATCATGCCAGATCTTGCACTGTTTCCGGTCAAACGTGACTTCTTCATGGTCATCGTGCTTGGGAAACTGGAGCCCTGTATGTAAATCATTCTTACTCAACCGCAAGACAGGAAACACCCATGTATCAACCGCTCTTCTATACATATTGTGCCTCCAAATTTAAGCCAGAGCCACAATCAAAACGATCAGTTTGAAGAGTGAAGTTAAATATAACCTCAAGGCAGCGCGGGGTCAGGCCCTTGCCGTCCACCAAGGTTGTGTTCCGGCCGTTGTGGGGCCGTACCGGCCGCAGTATAGTAGAAAGCCGGTTTCAGCACCGAGGCTGTTCAGCTAGGAGTAAGTAATAATTGTTAGGATACTTCAGGTATATTCAAAGTATATCAGTGCCACCTGTTTGTTGCTCCTACATTATAAATCTTCTTGGTATCTTCGGTACGAGAAGAGTCAGGCTCAGGCTCTGCAGGACCATTGTCGACTCGAACGTAGATCGTTTCTATGTCTCCTGAGACGCTTATCTCCGCTGGGCCCGTTAAGCGCGGAACCGGGCCGTGACCCAACCTGCCAAAGTAGCTAAAGTTAAGAGTTTGCAGGCTTGTTCGCCATATCTGTAACAAAAGTGCTTATGGCAGCCCACTAAAAGATCCACCTGGCACAGATAAAGAACCTGTTGCTCTCCACTCTGAGGAGGCTAGCGGTTGATGAACACTCTCTCGGCATCGATATCGGTTAGACAAGAAAGGGCGTAGGTGATTTATCCATGTATGTATCCGTAGTAATGTGTGTAACTGCTGTTAGTCCTGAGTCCCATCCGTGCCGTTTTCCGGTCCTCAGATTAAGTCCCTTGAAAAAAATCACATATTTCGCCATCATCCCTGGTGTCGTGCAGACTTGAGACTTGTTAATTCTTTGATCTTGTCGACAGCCAGAAGGAACCATTTTAAGCCGGAATATGATATGACAACAATAATTAGCGAAAACACACATCGCATTCCTTCTAGCTGTTAAACTCGCAACATTCGGACTGGGTGAGAGGCGCGCAACTAATCATGACGAAGGATATTGAGAAAGCGGCGCCAGTCAATGATGCCGAATCATCAGCCTCGGTATCTTCAACAGCGTCGTCGCCTATCTTGGAACCTATCAGAACCATCCAGGAGCCTGATATCTTTGAGGCGTTGGAGCATGCCCTGACGCCCGATGTCGAGACAGCGGCGGAACGCGAAGCTCGCGAGCCCATCACTTACACTCGGACTGGTACCAGCATAGCCAGCGCCGCGTCTAGGCCCCCCGACTTCGAGGTTTTCTTCCAGGATGGGGATTTAGATAATCCTAGGAACTGGTCTAAAGGCTATCGCGCATGGATCATTGTTTGTGTCTCGTATTCCACATGGGTTGTGGTCTTATACAGCACATGCTATACTGCATCGATAGCTGGTCTGGCAGAAGAGTTTGGAGCATCTTCTACAGTGACGACACTCGGACTGACGACGTATCTGCTTGGCCTTGCTGCGGGAAGTCTCATCGTTGCACCTCTGAGTGAGCTGTATGGTCGACAGAAAGTATACATCGTCTGTTTGACTGTTTGGGCTTTGTTGATATTGCCTTGTGCTCTGGCGACGTCGATAACGGAGATTGTTGTTGTGCGCTTCTTTGGGTGAGTGGTGTTTTCTCTGGAGTGAGTCAGTTGTACTAACATGAGCGTAGGGCTGTCTTCGGTGCTGCTATGATATCAAACAGCCCTGGAACCATTGTTGATATCTCGGACCCAGACTATCTCGCTGCTGCTATGTCAATGTGGTCGATCGCACCTCTTAATGGACCCTCCACTGGGCCCATCATTGGAGGCTTTGTGTATCAGTACCTGGGATGGCGATGGGATAACTGGATTCCATTGATGCTTGGAGGTGCTGGAATTCTTATGATGCTCACAGTGAAGGAGACGTACCACCCAGCTATCTTGAAACAGAAAGCCGCGCGCTTGCGCAAGGAGCATGACGACCCGCGGTATTGGTGTCAATATGATCAGAAGGTATCAACGCGACATTTGATCAAGGTCAATATGAGCAGACCCTTTACACTCTTAGCGACTGAACCTATTCTGTGGTTCATGGATATCTGGTGAGTCGAGTCGAGAGGACTTCCGGCGTAGGCGTCGCTAATCATATAACAGGATATCGCTGATCTACGCCATTCTTTATCTTTGTTTCGTGGCATATCCAATTGTGTTCTCACAACACCGCGGCTGGAGTGCAGGCATATCAGGCCTTTCTTTCGTTGGCATTGGTATAGGAACCATGCTTGCCATCTTTGCAGAGCCTCTTTTCCGTCGTCTGATCAATTCTCAACCTCGGGACCCCGTAACTGGCAAACCTCAGCCAGAGGCAACAGCATTGGTTATGGGCATTGGTGCAATCCTGACACCCGTTGGCCAACTCGTCTTTTCGTGGACATGCCTCCCAGCGACTATTCATTGGGCTATTCCGATCGCTTTCGGCATTCCGTTTGGTGCAGGGAATACTATCAGCTTTATCTATGGCTCGAACTATCTGGCTGGGGCATACTCCATTTATGCTGCCAGCGCGCTCGCTGGTAATGCTGTCATTCGAAGTATTGCTGGAGGTGTCTTGCCCTTGGCTGGTCCCAAGATGTACGCAGCCATGACTCCCCAATGGGCCGGCACTCTCCTGGGTCTTCTCGAAGTGGCCATGATCCCCATTCCGTTTGTGTTCTGGCGATATGGAGCCAAGATTAGGGCCAAGAGTCCAGCTATTAGAGCATTGCGGGAAGAACAAGACAGACTTGATGCCAAGAGAGCCAAGTATCAGAAGAAGCTTGAGAGGAAGCAGCAGCGAGATGAAGGAGGTGAAAAGACCAACGAGGGGGCATTGAACAAGACAGTGGGTGATTGAGCGTGTCAGATTAGAAGTTAGGTACCTTGGCAATTATTGATTCATATAATGTAGGTACCTACTCGAGGGTCAAAGTCATGACTAAGACGTCACCCATGCAACTGTTTCTACTATGTACCTGCCTCTTATCTCGCCTGTGTAAGCGGCGATGTTGTTTAATGTTCGGCAGTACCTACCTTGGGGAGTGTAAGCACTTGAGCTGCAACGGAAAGAAGGTCCTTCCGAACCTGAAGCCGTAGTGCAAATTGGAAAGAGCCATTCATGGCAGGACTTTATTATGGATTTACTACGTGTGGTTGATGATCAGCCAAAAAAATGAACGACAAAGCTGCAAAAAGATGATTGCTCAATCCCTTGGGAATTTATAGGAACAGCCCGATGCGGGGGTCGAACCCGCAACCTTGAGATTGTGTGTACTCATTTAAGAGTCTCACGCTCTACCGATTGAGCTAACCGGGCGTCGTTCTTGACGCTTGTGTTGTTGAAAGTTGAGCTTCGAAATTAAGAAAATGAAGCTATCCAACGCAAAAAGATTTTGGCGTGAAAGACTTGATATAGTGCTTCATTGGGGACTGGAATAGTGACAATCGATATTCACTCTGAAAATGATTACAAGGCTTACTAAGTAGTGGTATTTTGAGGATATTGCCTACGTCGATCCTTTACAACAAGTTTGCGTGCAATAACAATTCAGGACATTTAACGTCCACGCCCTTTATTCCCGTAACTTTATTTAACCAGTATAGGTTAAGGTGCTCGTAAACAACACTGTTTCGACGCTCATGTAGTTGGTAGACAGACTAGGAATTCAATCTTCATACCAAACTCAACAAGAGTACATACATTTTGATTCAAGAAATGCATGGTGGTTTGGTTGGCAGGTAAGGGTAGTACGAGTGAAAATGAGTTTTAATTATTCGTCTGTTTCATGTATCATTCGGCTATGGTACGCCGACCAAGTCTCCCATACCTAATCGATTGACTTTTGAGACTCCCCGATAGACCACTTTCATATAAAGAAACATAAGGTCGACCTATACACGCCGCGAAGGTGTCCAATAAAGTACAGCCCAATATCCCAGAGTCCTATGTGACTCGCAAACACTCCTGTTTTCTTTTTTGTGGCAGATTCCGCCCAGCTAATACATACTACGTCCGCTGGAGAAGCACTCAAAAAATGTTTATCCCATATCAAACCCAGTCGTCCCTTAGTTCTCCTTCTCCAGACCATCGAGTTCCTTAAGCACGGACGACTTGGTGTTGATCTTCTTAAGCTGGGTGTCCTCTAGTTTCTCTCCACCAGCAAGACGCATCTCGAGGTCCTCGATGGCGCGAACCTTCTTCTGAAGACTGCGGATCTTCTTGGCATTGGGGTTTTGAGAAGCATCAGCAGCGGCTTCAGCAGCACCCTGGGCGTCCTGTTGATGAGCATGGCGACCGTGGCCGTTGCGGTGAGTGTTGCTGCGGCTACGGGCCTGGTTGTGCCGGGACTGGCTTCGGTTGCGAGGGTTGCGTCGCTCGGGGCTGCGTCCCTCGTGGCCAGATCCATGGCCTCGGTCGTGAGGAGGAGGAGCCAGGCTAGCTCCACCGTTAGGCTCGCCTTGGGGTCGACCCTCACCCTGAGCGTTCTTCTTGTTTCTCTTCTTCTTGTTCTTAGACTTGGACGAGTTTTCATCGCCCAGGGGTTCGGCTCCGGGAACAGTCCTGACTGCAGGAGCTTGCTCAGCAAGGTCAGCGCCTGGCACGGCGCGGCGTGGGCGACCGAAGCCATTGGGTCCAACGTTAGGTAGACCGTTGCTCACGACGTGCGCGGCACCGCCCTCGTCCTCGCGCTTGAAGTGAAGTGGAGTGGCCAGGCCACGAGCGCCGGGAGGACGGTAAGCACCAGCAGGCTTGCTGGGGGTCTTGACTGTACCAAGGTAGGCTGTGGCAGAGGCGTGGGGAGTGGGGACAGGGCTCAGAGGATCACCAGGAGCGATGCTGTCAGGGCCCTGAGGTCGCCAGATAACATTGTACAACTCAACCATATCCTCGCAGTACATAATACCACCACTGACATGCCACAGCTTCACGCCGTTATCCACACGGAGTCGGGGAGAGGTCGTGGCGGTCAAAAGATAGCGGCTGTCGGGACTCCATTCACAAACACTAGGGTTTCCACTCTCGATCGTGGTAACCTTGCGGAAATCCTTTTCAAGGTCGTAGATATCGATTTGACCAGCAAGGTTGCCGAAACCAGCAACCAGAACAAATCGACCTGTAGGGGAGAAGGTGATTGTGTTTCTAGGTGCGATTGGGAAGGAGTGCGTCGCAACGGCCCGGTGGTTGAAGATGGTGGCCTTGGCAGGCATGTAGCCATACACAACACCGAACTCTCTGGAGTTTGGCGACCACGAAACATCGTGGATGGGACCCTCCTTATCCAAGGACACACGAGCATCAAAAGCGCCAGTAGTGCTGAGCAGATACAGCGTGGTCTCGCCATAGTAACTCTTGCCTGATCGATCAACGTCAGTTTGCGCCAGCACCAAAATACTTGTGCCGAGCTGGTTCCACTTCAGTTGAACCTTGTCTCCCTTGAAGAAGGTCTTCTGGGAGATAGGGTTGGTGAAAAGAGGAACATTGAAGACCTTGACTGCTGCAGGTTGACCCTTGGGAACATCAGCGAACATATTCCGACAAAGAAAATACAGAATTGACTTACCTTGCGTTCAGGAACAAAAACGGCAACGGCGTGGTTTTGGCTGCCAGGAGCAAGAGCAAAGTTGGTAGCACCCTCGACTCGAAGCTTGTTCCAGACCTTGACGAGATCGTGGCTCTCGTAGAACTGAACTTCGTTGGTGACGAGACGAGCACAGTACTTCTCATCGGCTGTGTACTGGAGGTTCCAGCCTTGCTGTTGCTTCTGAACAAAGCGGCCCAAAGGCTGCTTGTTCTCAGCAGCGACACCATCCTCTACAACACGCCAGACCTTGAGGTTCTTGGTAGCATCTCCGTTCTCGTCCTTGGCGGGGCGTTCCCATGTGATGACGAAAGTACCGCGGGGAGAGAAACCGAGTTCGTAGACGTTGAGGATGGGGAGAGACAGGACCTGCTTGCCAGATGAAGCATCGACGACGGTGACGGCCTCGGGAGAGGCCCAGCCGAAGTAGCGACCACAAGGCGAGTAGGTACAGTATCGGAGGTTGCCCTCAGGCTTGGCGAACCCAGCGAGAGGCTCGTAGACGGGCGCAGCGTCAAAGACGCCGATGGTCTTCTGGGTTCTGTAGGCAAACTGCAGCGGAGAAGCCATGGCTAGTGAAAGTCACAGTATCTCGTGTCTTGCGAAGGTCTTTTTAGGGGGCCGGTTGTTGAATGTTCTGTCGTGTCGTATGCGGGCAAAGCAGAGCAGAGTTGTAGTTGTCGATCGCGATCGTGGGGCTGAAAGCTTGGGCTCAGATGCGGATTGGGCGAATAGCAATAGCGGGAGAGCGAAAAGCTAATGGAAGCTGTGGACTTTTTGACTGCACAATAAAGGGCAGTACGAAGTAGTTTGCTTGGAAGATGAGTCTATAGCGTTGAATCCGACTCGTTCGAGAGCTGGATTATAGTGCAATAATAGACTGTTTGTAGGCCAAAGATGGATATTGTTTGATGTTGATGTTGATGTTGTCGCGGAGCAACAAACCCAAAAGTGGCGGGGGAGATCGATTGCGATGTATAGCTAAGCCTGGACCTGCGAAAAGGCAAACTAGAAGGACAAGAACAGATTCGATGACCGGAAGGAAGATAAAAAGAAGACGGCAAGTCACCCAAGTACGGAGGGGGGAGAAATTGGCGCGGCAGGGCCGTGATATTTTGAGCTGAAAGGGAAACAAGAAGAAGAGAAGAAGTTGGCGGCGGCCTTGGCCACCAGCAAGAGGATTGGGTTTTTTTTTGTTCAATTTTCCCGCCCTTTTTTTTGCCTGGGCACAAGCCACACACCCTACACCGTACCCTGCGTCTACCGTTCAATGTTCGCCCTTGACCCTTGACTCAGCCTCTGCACTGTCTCACTCCACTGTGAATGAATGAATGCCCGGGTGAATGAATCAAGTTCAGGCCCTTTACTTCTTTATAGGGCATTCGGCCCCAGATTTCACTCTTCTAATGGGCATTCGTAGCCAATTGCCATGCTTCCGAGTCCACTGTGGGTTCAGTTTCCCGAGGTTTCAGGCTTTCTTTCAGCGGGAACCCCGAGGGCAGGGCTATGTACCTCCTTTATTCTTGTTGCTTTCAAGCCACATACAGGAGCCGCATGTGTGCGTATATATCCATGTGAATGTATGTAGTACATTGGAGGTGGCTGTTTGAAGTACACTTGAGATTCCTTTTGAAGTGATAGAGACCCCTTCTCTAAGAGGAATACAACACAGATGCATCCGTCTATTTAGTGTGCTTTCCTTTCTAAATCACACAGCCCAATTTGATATCACTACGTGGCACCAGTCAAGTCTGCTATTACCCAACCAAACTTGCTGTCCATCCCTAGGTTGGTAGGCCACTTGATCACATGGCTAGCTTGTTTACAAAGGTGGAAACCCTTCTTTGGGTGTGAGCGAGAGTTATCAGCTGTGGATTTCTTCCATTGTGAATAAGTCTTGCGCTTTAAAGATGATCTAAATAAGAACTGCTGAGAAATCTAGCCCTTATTACAGTCATTAGAGATCACCTAGCTTTTCTAGTATAGAAATGACATCACAGTTTGATCACCTGCCCTTGAACTTCTCTCTCCAGCCACCCTTCTCGAACAGCCAGAGAGCTTCAGTAGCATAAGCACGACTGCCCCGATGGCCGCCATCACCCATGGCAGCCTCCGTCAAGCTATCTAGAACCCGTCCCTTCTTAACGGCGCCCCAAACTCCCATAGCAATAGGGGAATCTTCACTCTTGCCCCATTCACCAAGCCCAAGGCGGTAAAGAATTCTCCCCAATGTTTGGAATGCCATGCATCTTTGCGCAGGAACAGCACTTCGGGCAAGATGAGCTAGCTCCGCAACTGTATATCCTGCAGCCTCTGGGGCATCGCCATGGTGATGTAAACCCTTTGACGAAGGGATAGCTCGACTAACTCTAGGCGATAAGAAGCGACCGCGAAAATCAAATCGTAGAGCGTTGACCGCGATCTCAGGATGAGGATAGTATGAAGAGTCTTTATCAGCTGGGCTGTCTTCTGTAGGGACCGGTGCCATCCACGCAAGCTTGCTCGGATCAGCTGGAAGGTTGGGGAAGTATTTCTCGTGGAGTGTGGCTAGAAAGTTCGGATCGGATGGATCGAGGTCGGCTAAAGCTGGCGGAACAGGGAAGTGAATGGATTTGGGTTGATCTGTGATTGGGAACAGATCGGGTGGTATTTGTGGCGGGGCCTTGTCCTCGTCGTAGTCATCTGCTATGTTTTTTGACGACGTCACTCGGGTCGCAGAGGGCGCATTTTCTTCTTT